TCCAGCCCCCCAAATCCCTCTTACCTAATGCATCAGCACCTGCAACGTGCTCTATTGCCACGGGCAACTAAGGAAAACCCCTCACAGGCTAGGGAAGCCAGGGAAGAGCCAGGGAAACTCAAGGCCACACATACATAAAAGAAAGAATGCGGCATTTACAGTTCGGCAAATGAGATAATGTTGAAAGAATACTAAGTCTGTCCACGGTTATTATTTCTAAAATCAAAACACATCCTATATTTTAATTTTTCCTCTTTATTTTTTTTTAATTTTTATTAGTGAAACACCATGAGGTACAGTTGTAGACTTAAAAATTTTTGTGCTTGGGTATCAGTTATACAATGATCAAGTACCCATCCCTCCACCAGTGCCCATTTCCCACCACCACGGATCCCAGTATTCCTCCCACCCCCCATCCCACCCTGCCTCTGTGGCTGGGCATTACCTTTTGTTCTCTCTCTCTTATTGGGTGTTGTGGTTTGCAAAAGAGGCAATGGGTGACAATCATGTTTAGTCTATAGTCTACTTTCTGCATGCTTCTCCCATCCTGGGAGGATCCTCCGAACACTTTTATTTGGTGTTCCCTTCTCTATCTGAGCTCCCTTTTCCCCTAGCATGTGTGGTTGGCCTCCAAGCCATGGAGTAAAATTCCTGGTACTAATCTCGGCCATTCTTGAGTTGTTACTTTTTGGATCATGACAGCATTTGTCCATGACCATGCTCTCCCACCCCCCATCCCCCCATCCCACGCTGCCTCTGTGGCAGGGTATTCCCTTTTGTTCTCTCTCTCTCCTTTTGGGTGTTGTGTTTGCAAAAGAGGCATTGAGTGGCAATCATGTTTGGTCTATAGTCTACTTTCAGCATGCTTCTCCCATCCTGGGCGGATCCTCCCAACACCCTTTATTTGGTGCTCCCTTTTCCCCTAGCAACACATCATATATTTTATAGCTGCACCACACAATAGCAGAGGGGCTAGAAAGCTAGTTCAGGGGCATGGATCTTGGATGTGTCAGGCTCAGACTCCAACCCCCTGCAGTACGTAACCCAGCCCGGCTTGAATTCCTTACTATTCATGAAGAAAGGCATTCACAAGATGGTTTTATTAAAAGGTAACATTTATATTTAAAAAAAAAACAGCAATAAATGGTATAGGGACAGAGAGATGGTACACAGGTTTAGGTCTTGTATGCAGCCAACTCCAGTTCAAATCCAGCACCTCAAGTGGTCCTGAAGGACCTCCAAGAACAATCCCTGTCCCAAAGAATATCATATACATTGTAAATACACAGGAAAAAAAGTCAAAGTATAATAAAAAAAATTTATGTGGATTACTTTTGGGAAGTAAAATGATACTCATTTCACTTGAAAATAGTATGTTTTTAAGAAGTATTAAATTAAGTTTTCAGATGTAGAAATTTTTCAGATCTAGAAACTAGCCTACCAAATCTAGAGAAAAGATTGATGAGATGAGAGAAGTGTAGTTAACTCTACCTGCTCTAGGATACATTCAATATCCTTTCCAAAAAAATCAGGACGCAAAAGTCAACAACTAGAGACTACTTGGAAATAAATTTAACCTCTTAAACAATGTTTCATTTACACAATTCTTACAGAACAGATTAGTTACATACTGCTATTACAATCTTTCCTCATTTTGTCTTTCTTCCAATTAACTTTCTAGCACATAAGCTTTACTGTCTTGAATCAGAAACTTAAGCAGAATTTTACAAGCATCTACAGAAGATAAGGTACTACCCTAGGAAAGAGGTCACTCTTTTTACCAACACATCTAATCCGTAAGTAACTTTTTTTCACAGAAAAATTCTAACATAATAGGTTTAACAGTTTACCCAATAGCCTACAGGGCTGAAATAGGACTGAAAATACCTCTCAATTGTGAAGAAACTGTAATATCAAAAACCACATTTAGAAATCTCCCATCGAGTAATAAAATATAGAGTAAAAATTTAGAGAAGTCAGAAATGCGAGTCTGGGGAGCCAGAGTGATAGTACAGCGGGTGCACACAGTCAACCTGGATTCGGTCCCTGGCACCCCATATGGTCTCCTGAGCATCGCCAGGAGCAACTCTGGAGTGCAGAGCCAGGAGTAACCCATGAGCATCACTGGGTATGGCGCAATAAAAAAGAAAGAAGGAAGGGAGAGAGGAAACGAGGGAGAGAGAGGGAGGGAGACAGAGAGAAAGAGAGAGAGCGAGCGAGCAAAAAAGAAAGAGCAAAAAGACCCAAGGTATCGTATGGCAATAAAGCAGGAGAGGTGATTGCCTTGCATGTGGCCAACAGAGGTTTGATTTCCAGCACCACATATGGTTCCAAATCCCCTCACCCTCAGTCCCACCAGCAGTGATCCTTGAGTACAGATCAGGAATAAGCCCTGAGCACCACACCCCACCTCTTTCGGGGAAAAAAAAGAAACAGAAATGGGTGTCTGGTGATCTGGGTTACGGATCGTATCAACACTAATCTGCTCTGTGACCTACCTTTGGCAAGTCACTTCTACCTTTTTGAACCTCAGTTTCCCCATCTGTAGAATGGAAGGGAAAATGCTTAGACTAGGTTCTTATTTCCCAGGATCTAATTCCTGCAAGAAGCTAATAATGCTATAGACTCTATTACTAAGAAGGTCTTTTCTGCACCCAAAATTTTACACTGTTCTTTTCTCCCCTGTGGACTCTGTAAGATCTCCTTACTAAGATTTCTCGAGACTGTTCTACACACCGAAACTGCTATTTTCATGAAATAATCCACCACCACCGCTTAATAATTGAAGGAGACTCAATATTTGGAATCTATCCTCAAATGAGTGAGTTTACCTGTTTCTGGCCTCACTACCCTTAAGAACTAGTAACTGGTTAACTAACAGAACTAGTTGCAGGGGCTGGAGTGATAGCACAGCGGGTAGGGCGTTTGCACGCTGCTGACCTAGGTTGATTCCCAGCATCCCATGTGGTCCCCTGAGCACCGCCAGGAGCAATTCCTGGAATGCTATGAGCCAGGAGTAATCCCTGTGCATAGCCGGGTGTGACCCAAAAAGCAAAAAACAAACAAACAAAAAAGAACTAAGTTGTAGCTCCACCACTCTACCACTTTCTTGAGCAAACCCTTTTGAAAATTTGAGTAAGTTACTCAGCATCTACATACTTGAATGCCTTAATTTCTAAAGGAAGATGAAAGTCCTAACACCTACTTCTCATAGAATGACTGATGAATAAAGTAACATACAGAAAGTACTGGCACACAGAGAGGATCCAATACACGTCAACAATTATTATTAATGATAATATTATATAATGATATAATAACTGGAAAGAAGCTTCCATAATGAGAAATGACAACGTAACCGCCATAGTTACATACTTTTAACTAGCAAGTGGAAATTTCCAAAAAAGCAAAATTTTCCATTTTCAACAACAACCTTTTTTTCAAATGCTCCTCTCCTCTGGGGAAAAGAAAAACCTAGGACTATAAATGGATATCCCCAACATATATGAGACATGGCAAAGTTATTGGTGAGAGTGCCAGTTTTAGAGCCAGACAAAGTTGACTTCTAGACCTAATTCAACATGGTTGAATTAGGTTATATAATACATGTCATCAAAAGTCTTTCTTAATCTTGTAAAGCTGATGCAAGGATTATTAAGTAGGAAATGCATCAAACATAGAATCTGGCCTGCTGTATTCAAGAAACAAAACCTATTATTAGCTTCACAGCTACTCCCTTACAGATGATAAAACTAGCTCTGCCAGGGAATATAGAAGGTGCTAGAAGCACAAACTCTGTGTTCAGACCACAGATAAAGAACATTCACTTTATGCAATAATTAAAGCACTGGTTCTTGGGTCACATAACACTGCCAGAGACTACTGAAACGGGACCTTTTCAATCCTATGACTTTTTCAGGTTTCTGCAGAAAAATATTGTCAGGGACTTAGAAAATTTATACTAGCTAGTTTTTTCGTGGAATTCCTTTGCAAGTGTCTGAAAACGTGACCCACTCAGTTCTGTGACAAAACGATTTACAGAACTTTGCTTAGAACGAATCAAGTAAATCCCTTTTTCAATCGGGCTTCTCCACGTCTGTAAGCTATCTGGAAATTCGATCTTGATCAATTAAATCACAAGCAGTGGTCGAAACAGTTCGAATACTTTTTAGTATTATGTTCGAACTCAGAACCCAAACTCGAACCAGAGGGAGAAGAAGAATAAGAGTCGAAAGGGGCGATAAAGCTGATCGCGTTCGGCTCTCAGAAAGTCTGAACCAACTCAAGGAATCAACGGCGGCTACGATCGTCGAAGAATGATTGTACCGGCACGCCGCACTCATTTCCAAAATCAAGTGAGCCACCCAAGACAAACTCAGCCAGCGCGTGCGTCCGCCGAGCTACCTGCGCGTCACTCGTCCTCCCGGGACTCCCCGCCCGGGAAACTTCCCCGGGCCTCGGGTCCCGCCTCCCCGCGTCCCGCTCCGCCGCACAGAACGGCCCGGGCCGGAGACCCAGGGGTGCCCGGCGCGGCCCCAGCGCGGGGTCCCGCGGGCGCCCGCCCCGGCCAGGCTCCACGCCGTGACCTTGCGGGGGGCGCGCTCGCCCCGGCCCCGCGCGGCCGGCCGCGTCCCCCAGGGTGGCTTCGCCCCTCGGACGCGGCGGGGCGCGGGGCCGCCGACAGCGCCCGGTCCGGTCCGCTCGGCCCGCCCGGCCCGGGTGCGAGGACGCAGCGCGACCCGGCCGCGCGGCCCGCCTCGGTCCTCAGCCGGCCGCGGGCGGGACCTCCCGCCCGAGAGCGCCGCGTCGGCGCCCGCTCGGGCCAGCCGGGGGTCGGGCAGCCCGGAGCGGGGCCGCAGCGGGAGGGTCGCGGGAGCCTGCGCCACGCCGCCCGGGCCCGGCCGGGCCCTCGGCGCCCGCGGCCCGCGAGCGGCAGGGGCGGGCGGCAGGCGCGGCCGGAGGCCCGCGGGCGCCGGGGTGCGGGACCGCGGCGGACTCACCATCAGAACTTTGGCCGCGTTCTCCAGCTGAGCGATCACTTCTGGGGGCCCCAGCGCCGCCGCCATCATGGTCTCTCTTCAATGACGCGCCATGCGGGGCATTCTGGGAGCCGCGCCGCGGGCGGCCAATCGCGCGCTCCCACGCGCCCCCGCGGCAGCGGGAACGCGGCCCTGCGCGCCCCCGCGGCAACGGGGACGCAGCGGCCGTGCGTGCCCGGCCCCGCGTGCCGGGTCGGCAGGCCTCGGGCAGCTCTGCCCTGCTCTGTGCGCCCCTGCCACTCTCTGCTCCGTCCAGCATCAGCCCCGGCACCCTCTGGCCCACGCACCCCCGGCCCGCGGCGCGCTCTGTCCGGTGCACCCCTGACCGCTCCTCCCCGTGCACCCCCGGCCCGCTCTGCCCTGTGCACCCTCACCCGCGGCCCGCTCTGCTCCGTGAGCCCCCGGCCCGCTCCTGCCCTGCCCGCGGCCCCCTCCGTCCGCGCCGCTCCCAGCTGCACTCCGCCACGCGCCCCGGGTCCGAGCGTCCGTCCTCCGTCCACTCCTAGGGCAGCCCAGACCAAAGGGGTCACTGCTTCTTTTCGCCACACCCAGAGCGCTCCGGGGCCACTCCAGCCCGGCCCCGCGACCCCAGAGGCCTCTCAAGGAGCCCCTGCGGTGTGGCCTGAGCCGCTCGGGCGCAGATCCCGCGCGGTGGTAGTGGCGGCAACACGCTTCCTGCTCCCCGCGCAGTCTCCGGGGACACAGCCCGAAACCTGTAAGAACGCTGGCCACCAGCTTTGACCTCACACGTGAGAAGCATGTAGGAGTCCGGTCAGCCGTGAATCCAGGTTGGAACGATGACCCTGAGGGTCGAGTCCAGCCACTGTGCACCCAGTGCCCGCGCCTGCACCGCGAGCCCCTCTCCCTCCCGAGGCATCCCCGCGGGTTCCCAGCCCCGACGTGGAAGCTGTCTGGGCGACAGGCTGCTTCTGCTGGGAGCTCACAGGACTTTCCTCGAACTCATCCAGCGGTGCTATTCTGCTGCCCGCGACGCTGAATGCAAAAATCCACATCACTGTAGACTTCCCCTTGAAATCTTTCAGGGTTTCTTCTTTCATACCTAGAATTTACGGGGACTCTGCGTCAGAATCATAATGTCAATCCACTTAAATACATATGTTTCTTGTATTAGGCCTCTCTACAAAGGATTAGCAAGATTTTGTTCCATTTCAAAAGTGCCAGAGAGGGGGCTGAGGCAATAGCACTCCCAGCATCCCACATGGTTCCTTGAGGATCGCCAGGGGTAGTTCCTGAGTGCAGAGCCAGGAGTAACCCCTGTGCATCGCTGGGTGTGACCCAAAAAAGCAAAAAAAGAAAAGAAAAGAAAAGAAAAGTGCAGAAGAGGCCAAAATGCAGCAGGCTGTCTTTTTCACAATAAGAACTGTATAAAAAAGTGATTAATACGGGCCAGAGTGAAAGTACAGCAGGTAGGGCATTTGCCTTGAATTTGGCCTCCCAAGTTCAATCCCAAGCCCTCCAGGACTGATCCCCCGACACCATAGGGTATGACAATAAGTGCTTAGCATAGTGTGCCTTAACACACACATACACAGTAAACATTTGACTAACGATAGCAATCTACATGACCTTTCAAAATGTCTAGCTGCTGCAAAGAGTAATTACTGCAGGTCAATGTTATATATCTAAAAATATGTACACGTATGAAGGGTATATGAAATTAAGTGACTGAAGCTTACAAAACTGCAGTTTGAGCCTGGGGTGTGTGTGTGTGTGTGTGTGTGTGTGTGTGTGTGTGTGTGTGAAACCACATAACTGCATCTAAACATTCTTTTCGGGGGGGTTGGGGGGTGCTAGGAGAAACCCCCTAAACAGTCCTCAGGAGGCCCATAGACTACTCCAGGCACTTTATCTAATCTGGGTTACCACTGGATGCTCAGGTCCCACGGTGCCAGGTGCCACTTGGGCCACCCCAGGGGGAGCCTTGTAGTGTCAGGGATGTACTGGGGTCACCTGCTGCTAACCCCTATCACCTTTCCACCCACCTCAGGCATTCTTTCATAGAGGAAGAAGAAAACTATCATTACAAACAAAAGGATAAATATGCTTCCTTTCAAAACTTGATATCTTGGATTTAAAAGGCCAGAAAAAGGGCTGGAGCGATAGCACAGCAGGTAGGTCATTTGTCTTTGATGCAGCCAACCTAGGTTCGATTTCCAGCATCCCATATGGTCCCCTGAGCACATTCCTGAGTGCAGAGCCAGGAGTAACCCCTGTGCATTGCCAGGTATGACCCAAAAAGAAAAAAAATAATAAGGCCAGAGAAATAGTGCAATAGATAGGGCACTTGTCTTGCATACAGCACGCAGCCAATGCAGGTTTAATCCCTGGCATCCCATATGGCCCCCGAACCCACCAGGAGTGATCCCTGAATGCAGAGCAAGGAGTAACTCCCTGAGCACTGCTAGTGTGGCCCCCAAAACAACAAGAAAAAAATAGAGTGGTTTTGTCCCTCCTGTCAAAAATGATCTCGAGATTTCTATCTGTATGGATGGGAGAGAGATGTCTGGGTCCCACCTGGCTATGCTCAGAAGCTGCTCTGGTCTGTTGCTCCCTGCAGTGCTCCAGGATTGACTCATTGTAAAGCCAGTGCCTTTCCCGCTATACTATCAGGTAGGCCGCAGGCAAGGCAAGTGCCTTAGCCTCTATACTGTCTCTCAACCCTTGATGCTAGTTTGCTTCTAGGAAATAAAGTTAGTATTTTTTTTAAGTTAGGATTTTTACAAGTTGAAAACTTTGAACTCTATAATCTATTTTTTATTTCACTTTTTGTTTCTATTTATATCTATAAAAAGATAGCAAGGCCAATGATGTATTTAGTGGTAGCGGCCTTGATTTGCATATATAAGATCTGGGGTTTGATCACCAGAACCACACACCAAAAAGAGAGCCAATTCCTCTGTTAATCAAAATGCTTACAATCAATCTCTAGCTATAATGTTTCACTTCTTTCTTTTTTTCTTTCTCTCTCTCTCTCCCTCTCTCTCTCTCTTTCTCTCTTTCTCTCTTTCATTTTGTTTTGGTTTTTGGGCCACACCTGGCTACCCTCAAGGGTTACTCCTGGCTAAGCACTCATGAATTACTACTCAGGGGAATTTATGGGATGCTGGGGACTGAACCTGGTCTGACCATGTGCAAGACCAATGCCCTACCCGCTATACTATCACTCTAACCTCTGGTTCACTTTTCTTGTACATTACAAGGCATCTGTCCAGTTAAAAAAGTTTTGAGATTGAGATACAGACCTATGCTTTTCCATAAAACTTGCAAAGTAACCTCACTGACCAATAACCTGAAGGCATGCAGTCGCAAGGGCTTTAAATGAAGTCACCTATGACAGGAAATCCTCCCAGAGCTCCATGTACCAGGCTAGAAGATTCACATCTAAGAAGTTCTCTTTGGGTAGGCTAGAGGGCACTTGCCTTGCACACTGCTGAACCAGATTTAATCCCCGGCATCTCATATGGTCCCCCAAGCACCACCAAAAGTAATTCCTGAGTGCAGAGCCAGGAGTAACTCATAAGCATCTCTGGGTGTAGCCCCCAAACAAAACAAGATTTAAAAAGCTCCATTTTAGATAGGGTTTGCAATGCAGTTGGAGAGGTTATGCTTTTTCATGGATCACGGTCACGGTCCTCCCGTTGTTCATCGATTTGCTCAAGCGGGCCCAGTAACGTCTCCATTGGAGACTTTTGTTGTTACTGTGTTTGGCATATCGAATATATCACAGGTAGCTTGCCAGGCTCTGCCGTGCGGGCGAGATACTCTCGGTAGCTTGCCGGGCTCTCTGAGAGGGGCGAAGGAATCGAACTCGAGTCGGCCATGTTGGCTGCGTGCAAGGCAAACGCCCTACCGCTGTGCTATCGCTCCAGCGATAGCTCATTCAAAAGTAGAGAGACTTCCTGGCCTGGAAAACTGAAGGATTTATAAGCTACCCAGAAATGCTGGGATTGAAGGAGCCTCTGCAGTAAGACAGGAAAAGTCCTACTGAAAAAGGTGTGGGCTAAAGAGATTGCTCAGAGGGCTGAAGCATACACAATGCAGGCAGGGGAAGCAGGGTGGATCCCTAGCACCATGAGACCCCCAGAATACTTCCGGGAACAACCCCCATGCACTAAGCCAGGAATAGCCCCCGAGCACTACTGGGGCATGCCCCCCAAACAGAATGTGACTTTAGTGGGTGCTACAGGATGTCAAAATCTAGAGTCTATTTGTAGTGTGAAGAGGTCTGAAAGGGGGAAAGTTGGACTCTTTTTCAAGTGGACACTTCCTCTCCACTCAGAGCTCACTAAGTCTTCTCAAAAGATAGCACTTGAACAGGATGAGCTCCCAAGACATCCTCTAGTTGCGAGAAGGATGCTACCCCAGGCTGTTTGCCAGGGAGCAGAGGATGACAGTGGCAAGGTTTTCTGTATAAGGAGGTGCGTTTGCAAGCTGAGGAAAGGAGGAAGCCCATGTGGGAGACAGATCGTGAAAACAGCAAATATGAGTGCTTCCTGCGTGCATATGGAAGGGACTGTGCCCCAATCCACGTGACTGAGAGGATGAGTGCGCTGTGTTTTAGCACACGAGAAGCACAGATGGCGGCCAGGGAGATGGTACACTTGTTAGGGCATATGCTGTGAATATGCAGGACCCTGGTTTGATCTCTGGTACCACATGGCCCCTGAGCACTGTAGGGAATGACCCTGATGGCACCTGAGCACCTTAATAAAAACATCTTACTAAATGGGATACATATTTACATAAATATAACAAAGGAGTAATAACCAAGATATTTTCATATCTCATTCAGAACTCAATAACACAAAATCAAAAATGGAGGAGGAAAGGGCCGGGGAGATGGATTGATGACTGAGCATATGCTTCATGTATGTATATGTGCAGGTTTGACCCAAGCACCACATGGTTTCCCAAACAACGCAGAGAATGATCCCTAAGCACAAAGCAAGGAGTAAGCCCTCAGCACCACTGGGTGTGGCCTAAACCCCAAAAGTCAGAGGTGGGGCTGGAGAGATCAGGAAGAAGAAGATGCTTGCTTGCATGTGCTGACCTGGTTCAATCCCCGCACCCCTCGGTGGCTCTGCACTTAGGGCTCACTCCTTGCAGAGCTCGGGGGAACATGTGGG